CGGCAGTGTGGAAATCCGACCAACCCGTGTGAAGTCCCTGGAAATCCCATACGGCCAAAAGGGGTACTTGCACGCCCCGTACTGCCTTGACCGCGTAAAAGGGTGTTGCACGACCAAGTTGCACGACCGTGTGACAATATGGTCAGGCCATGTTACTTTCCATTCTTCCCGTCAACTGTCCAAACTTTGTCCAATCGACCCTGAATCTGTATCCAAACCTCCATCAACGTACTAGGACCCGAACTATCATAAACAAAAACACCCTAGCGTGAAATCGATTTAAAACACCAGAAATGAGGCTCAAACAGTATAAGATGGTGGACAAAAACGTGTGCAAATATCGAGTTATCACTTCTTCAAGCGAGACATTCTTGTCATTTATGTCTTCGCTTGAGGGGAGTGTTGAGGTTACTTAAACCTTGTTAGTATTGGGCCTTGTTGAGCCTTGTCCAAGTTGTAGTAGGTACAAATACTTTGTCGTACTCGACTCTTCTCGTTAGGGTTTTAAGTTTTAACCCTAGTTTATCACTATATAAGACTTAGCACGAATCTATCATAAGCAAGCCCCCACAATTAGGGTTGAAAATGGTCCGGCCTGGTTTAACCGGCCCAGTTTTACCCAGTTTTTTAGATGATAATTGTGCTAACTGTACAACTAAAAATTGGATTGGATTGAAAACAATTTCAGTTGTTAATAAATTATAATCATAAAATTATATTTTAATTATATTGAACATGAATACTTAATACAAAGATGTATAGTTGAAGAGATTTGGAATCGATTTGGAGGAAAGGAAGATGACGAGTAGTCTAGTATATTTTTTACTTTCATTTTGAATTTTTGTATTTTGTTTTGCATTTTTTGTATTTCATTATGTAATTTTTCTTTATTTATATTTGGTGTATGCTATGTATCTTGTGTTTATTGAATTTTCAAAAGTCTATTATCTATTATGCAAATGTATTGTTAAGGAAAAGAATATGTAGTAGGTCCCATCAATTGCAATTGTTAACCTATTGCAGGGATGTAGATGATTTGAAATTGTTGAATTGAATAATTGCTAAAGTTGGTGATGTGGATGTGGGGTCCATTTATGAAATGGCTAACCTATTGCAGGGATGGAGATGGTCTTACGATGTTGTTTCAAAAAATTACAATGAAACAAAAAACAAATAAAAATCACACCCTAATCCCTCCCACTCCCAGGATTCTTCCAGGCCATTCTCTCTCCTCCTTGGTCAATTGGATTGGGCTAAATGGAATCCGGTTTCCGGTTACAATCGGGACGATTTTTAACTGCCCGATTTCTGGTTTAACCGGAAAATTGGGACCGGATTCCCAACCCTAGTGACAATGTAGTACTCAAATAATAAAACACCAGTCGTGAGCTCTTTCGAGCTCAGCGTGGATCAGTCTCGATCAATCAATCGATCAAGGATACCACGTAAAATCTCTTATCTCTTGTATTCTTTCAATTCCGCGTCATCAAATTCTTCACTCTTTTACCCTCCTGCGATCCCCAGACAAATCCTCTAATCTTCTTATCGATCATATCACAGACATAGGGAGAAATGGGGTTTGCATAGCATAGGTTGATATGACATTCGGGATAGCACTCGCCAGAGTGACTCTGACCGCAAGGGAGAGGGTCCTCGCTTTCCAGGCTATCAATTTTTGGTCCATCTTGTCAAATATGTACTTACACGTGTTTCTAGTAAACCTACCATGCAGAACAGGGACTCCCAAATACTTTCCTAAGTCACTAATGACTTGTATTCCAAGTTTCACACAGATTTCATACCTTGTTGAGTTTTTCACATTCATATGGTCTCACAAAATTTAAATCATCGGCAATACGTATTGGAGTTGTCATCTAATCACGTATAGCAAATTATCAATTACACTGATAATTATCGATATCCTGCCATACATAATATACGCATATTCTTGCTCGACACCTATTTAATCAAATTTTCTTGGACTCCCCACAAAGCAAGGAAGGAGATATGAGTCTTTTTTCGTCTTATTAACTTTCGGTGGATGGGCTATTGTGGCCTGTGGGTAACTCACAAGTGCCATATCACTTGGGCTTGCCATTTCCTTTTTCACAACCTACTAAATTATAGAAACTGATAATTACAAATCAATATAAATTAATGCATCATTACTTTACTTCGTCTTAAATGTGTTTATACATAAACTATAAAAAAATAAAAAAATATAGGAACAATTCTATCATTCTACGTAAATGAGAGTTTAAAATGCATTTAACAGGTAATAAATCAACATAAATTAATGCATCATTAGTTTACTTGGTATAAAACGACTTTATACATAAAGTATAAATAAAAAAATAAAGAGATAATTCTATGATACTATATAAACGAGAGTTTCAAATGCATTTAATACATAAAAAATGAAGTTTCATATGGTTTCCGATTTAACAATTCAAGAATATGATCATTTTTCACTCGGAGATCAAATTATATGTTTAGCTCAAGTTTAAAAGCATTTGGTCTAAAATTTAATCTATAATATTATTGTTTTCTTCTCAAAGAATGATAAATTTTTTAAAAAAAATGATAATTGCCTAATAATTTTAAAAACATTTATTAGAAGTTTGAGTCTCTAGGGGTTTCGGATTGCATAAGTGAATAAATATTTTTACACTTTTGAGAATTTCAAGTTACTCAACAAACAATTATATATTAAAAAAAAACCTGTTTTGAAGTTCAAATCATCTGTGGATGTCGTAACACGTGACTAATCAACTTACATGTATAACTTTTGATTTGAAAGTCATTTGATTGTATTAAAGTTCTAAGTTTTAATTCGAGCAGAAGAGATGTGTTGTGAAAATAAATCTATGAAGTTGCTCAATTCAATAAATTCTTACTAAGACTATTAATACTATGCATCTTAAATTATTTTATTTTTATTATAATAAATGAGATCAAATTCCTATAGTCAATTTGGGAATCATCCTAACTAAAGTTTATATTGCTATTCTAAATAACATAACCTCAATTATTAACATTTTTCATATTGAGGATACTACCCAATCAATTACTAATATTTTCATATTTCGGATCCAACTCGAGTTGTGAATACTACCAAATATGATTTTGTTGTCTTGGATAATCAAGAAGACATAATGTTTTAGAATCATTGTTGAAAAGCTATTAAAAATAGTTGAAGAATGATACATTCTCTTCCTCATGTCTTATTAAATGAAGGAATGAAGTATTGTTTTTTTAAAAAGGAAGAAGAAAGAATGAAGTTGAATTTCTACACTATAACCAAACTAACAATTTTGAACATAATCATTGATGGAAAAAAAAATGAATCTCCAACTGGCAGACGCACTAAATTTACGAATAAGGGCTTGGCCTAGTGGTAATACCACTAGCCTAGAACCTGGAGGTCCCAGGTTCGAATATCTTAAGTAGTACCTTAATCAAAAAATGAAACATATATCACCCTTATAAAAAATAAAAAATAAAGAATCTCCAACAACATTTGCAACTATAATAAGGCAAATTCTTTTGTTGTGAAGCACCTGTCGATAACGAATATAGTGGAGTTGATGGTTAATAGGTGATTACGATTATTTTGAACACCAATAAGCTTATTTTGGATAAAATTTTACAAAGATGGCTCTGATTACAATGTAATTAATTTTTATGTTGCATGTACATTTTCTGTTTTCCAGGAATTGAATAATTTGAATTTCTTAACGGTAAAAATTAAGAAATTAGCTTGCTATTTGGTAAAATTGATATCGTTATTTTTTAATTTGCATATAATCGTGGCAGAAATATAAGAGAAGCGGAGAGTTACTGAAATTTAAACTTCGAAACTTTGTTAGTTATTGTCATCATATATTGCAACCGGCCAACAGGCCGGAGTACAATCTAGTTATATGTATAATAAACTGAATGGCTAAACATCACCCTAGTTTTACTATAATCGCCCTAAAATAAAATATAAAATTACTAAATTAACCTTAATTAACTAATAGATTTTCTTCGGGCGTGGCCCTACTACGTGCACTCCAAAAACCACCCTTGACACAGAAAACAGAAATCACTTCGGCGCCGACCGCTCCAAACACCCATCCTCCATCCCGCCGCCGTCGGACTGGTCTGTTAGCGGAGAAGAACTAGGTCAGTGAAATCAATCGAGAATGGAATGGTGAGGTTGATGGTGGAAGCCATAGTCATCGACACCCATTGTACAAACTCCAAACTCTCAATCAATTGGCATCTTACATATCAATTCATCATCAAAGAAATATTAATCGGCCTCTTCAGTTCTGCAGAAAGTGGAAGCCATCAAATCAGAAACAGGGGAAACCCAAGTTTTAACTCCTTTGGACCATCAATCACTCAACCACCCAGTCAAATCTCGTTCAAACATGCCAAATTATCCATTCGCAAGTCTACAATCAAAAAGGGCATTCCACAATCGTTAAAATAAACCCTCCATTTGATTCAGGGTTATTTATAGTCTACAAATAGACTACGGATCAAACGATCACAATTGATAACATGAACCCTCCGCTGATTACTATGGATAGAATTGAGGTCATTTCATTGACCGGAAAGGAGTATATCTGGCTTTTGTGATTCTAAATTTCTAATGGTTCTGCTGGGAGTCCGGCGAAAAGAGCGATTTTTGCTCAAGGGACCGTAAGGTGGTAACTCCAAAGTTTATTTGTTTAACCATTCGGTCTATGTTAATCACCTCTCTAATTCTTGTTCCGGAACAAACACCCAAATCATGGAGTCCCATTCGCCTTCTTTCGTCGACGGATTCTGAACTCTTCCGTTTCAACCTCGTCCAAGAAAAAAAAGATACTGAAGAGTGAAGAGCCAAAAGACGCAGAAAAACTAGGGCGATGAACAACCAAAAAATTTTAATTAAAAAAGGATAAAGAGGTCATTTTTACTTTCAAATTAGGGCGATTACTATAGAGCTAGGGCGAGAATTAGCAATCCCCATAATAAATCACACCTAAATTCGAAAGGATATTTTATGATAAAAGGAAAGAAAAAAAAAAAAAGGAACTGGACACTTGCCTTTCAAGACACTCGTCTTGTTCCAATTTCACTGGGCCAGAGGCCCAGAGCTCAGAAGGATCATTGGCTGAACAGACCTTCTACTGATACAACGAGACCTAGCTGTCCCATTTTCCTCCCTTGTTTCAATTATTGGGTTGGGCCGAAAGTCTTTAACAAACTTCTGGATCGTTCTCGAACAATAGAAAAATAGGAATCCACAAGAAATGCTAGCTAGTATATGTCGCCTCATCGATTTTCTTCCCCAACAAGATTCCAAGTTATAAAGAAGAATCGCTAATTCCGATTCAGATCATTGACGCCGTTTCCCACCGCTCTTCCGAGTTCGTACTGAAATTTCCTCCTCCACCGCCGCCGCCGTCCAATGTCGTCTCCGGGCGAGTAAGCTCCATGTCTCTTTCCTCCTGTTTCGTTTTTTTCCGCCTGATTCCCTTCGCTCCGCTTGAATCTATATGCCTTTTCCCGAATTCAGAGAGAAATTCCTATCCTGAATGCGATGGCTTGCCCTAATTTCGGAAGTGAATTTCTTCTGAGAAGAGTTGTCTGGTAGAAGATTTTAGAAAGTATAATTAGTTTGGTAGAGCGGGGTTTCGATTCCCTTGCTTGATCGGTGTAAGCATTTTGTGGCTGAGCATGGCTTTTCTTTGAGGTTTCAGGTACTACCTTTCCCTTCCACCGATCATCAGGGCTTATGGCACCGCGTGCCTGGCGGTTACTACAGTCTGTTCGCTCCAGCTGCTTCATCCGGCGTATATAGCATTGATATATGAAGACGTGTTCTACCGGTTACAGGTAGGTATTGTTTAACCTCTCTGGTTTTCAATTGAAGCTTGGCTGTAGGACTCGCTTCTGATTGTTCTTCTCTGTTTCCCTTTTCTAGGTGTGGAGGCTTGTTACTAGTTTCTTCTTTCTTGGGAAATTCTCCATCAATTTTGGTATTCGGCTCTTGATGATGTGAGTAATCGTTCTGAAAGATGGTTATCCCTTTTAGTTTTGGTCTATGTTCCAGAGTTTCCAACTTTCATGGAACTTTAGCTGTGGTCTATGATGCTACTTTCTTTGAACGGAGTTAACCATGTAGGCTCAATAGCATGTACTTGTAGCACAATTCTCTAGTTCTGATCTGTTTCAAACCTTATGCAGAGCACGGTATGGTGTTCAACTGGAGCAGGCAACATTTGACAGGCGTACTGCTGATTTTCTCTGGATGATGATCTTTGGAGGCTTGACGCTTCTGGTATGTGAACATGATTGTGTGTCTCTTTCTTTCTTCTGTTTTAGACTCTTAGCTGGGTATCGATGGCTGTTCAGTACAATGTTCTTGTGAAATGGCAGAATGTGGTAATGGAGTAGTCTGGAAATGCACCTTTGTTAGCAAAATTTTCTTGGGTGTTGCAAGTATTGTGAACTTCATTCACTTGTGGCTTCTAGCACTGAACTGTAGTTCTCCCTACCGATGTGTGGCTTTTGTGGTTGTTAATGTTAATAACAATTCTCAAATGAATTGCGGTTTTGTTAGCCATCGTATCTAGGATAACGAGCATATTTCTCTGCGCCACAGGGTCTGTCGGCCATCCCTTTTCTGTGGAACCCTTTCTTGGGCATTTCACTTGTGTTCATGCTGCTTTATGTCTGGAGCAGGGAGTTCCCAAATGCTCAAATCAACATGTATGGCCTGGTGACCTTTAAGGTAATGCCAAATTTGTGCTCTCATGTTGCGAGGCTTTGATTATTATTGCATCTTTGATGCTGATCTTCCAGTTGGTAGAAATTAGAAACTCTTGCCTATTATACGGAATGATCAAAGTTCTGTTTTTTTGTTTCGGTTTCTCGTAGGCATTTTATCTACCCTGGACCATGCTTGCCCTGGATGTTATTTTTGGGTCTCCAATTTTGCCCGACCTTCTGGGGATCATCGCTGGTCATTTATACTACTTCCTAACGGTGTTGCACCCGCTCTCAACTGGGAGAACCTATCTGAAGACTCCAAGATGGGTGTATCCTTTTACATTGCTTCCTTCCATAGTTTTATTATGCGTCTAATAACTCATCTCAAGTCTTTGAATCATCCACGTCGACTGCAATCTGCTATAACTTTTCCTAAGCTGTTTATAGACAGAAGGTGGTGAGAAGATATAGAATAGGAGCTCCAGCACAAGTGAATTCCCGAGCGGCGGCTCAGCAGCCTGAGCAGCAGCCTGGCACAGGAACAGCCTTCAGGGGAAGATCCTATAGACTGAGTGATTAGTTGCCATGGTGAATCTCTCCGCACCATTTTGTTCAGAATTGTCGATACAGAAACTAACCAAGGAAGAAAGTTATAAAGAGACTTGAAAAGGAGTTTTGCTGTGTAGAGGTCGTTGTTGGCGTTGAAGAGGATGAATCTGCTCGTTTCTGTTCCTTCTCGACTGACGCTTGGTGACGTTTTGATGTATCGTCTGTGTTTTCTTTTCACCTGGCCTGTATCCAGTACTTGTATAAAGTAAACAGAGAAGGATGAAATAGTTTAACAATTGTTGGCAGATTGGCTTTCTTTGAATTGGGCATTACCGTTCTCTAATTGTGGAAATTTGGGAACATGTTATCGCCATTCCGTTTCTTATAAATGTGACGAAAGAAAACAAAATGAAAACGAAACGAAAGAAAATAAATTAAAATAAAAATGATTTAGTTACTTTATATTGTTTTCTAATAATCGATTGTCACCATCTTTTCATGGAGTATCATATAACTTTGGACTGAATTTAAGATCACCCTGTAGATAATGTGTACCAAAATCTCCTTTAATGATAGACATTTGTAGTGGTTATGAATATATTATTAACTATAAGAAGGCGTGATATGAAAAGCAGGAAGCCATGGCCGCCGGCTATGAAGCATTTAATTGAGCAGCAGCCTGACCTGAAAGTGAAAGTCATCATCGCCATCTATTGATGTTTGATGATAGCTTAATACTTCATTTACTTAGACATGCATCTCTTTATAAAGAGTCTAAATAAGTGACACATTGTATTATCCTAAACAAATGAAAATAATCAATATGATTAAGTGATTAACAATTTTATTCTACAAACCACTAACTTGCGTTAACAAAATAAAAAATGACAAATGATGATAAATTATATATACCTTGTGATCGTTCCAAACATCTCTTGAACGATGGTTATCTTGGTCGAATATCAGAGTGGGATCAATCAGTCATTGATCAACATAATATCTTTGATTGTATATATCCACTATTTCCTAGGTTTTTGGGTGCAGCGAGGGATGGATATGGGGATAATCTTAAAGAGATAGAGAAGAATGAGTTTTAGTGTGAAAAATTAAGGAAGGGGGAGGAGTTTATGTAGGATTCGGACCGCCTGCTTGGAGGGGTGTAGTTTTGCACACACAATAACCACCTTTTCCAACCACGATTTGTGTTTTTCCAGGCCAGAAACTGCCCACTTCACCTGCGGTTCTTGATTCCTGACACGGATTACTTACATGGTACACAGTCCGCCCTTGGCTGCCCTAACTTTGACCGTATCTTCCTAACGCGTTTCTTCAGTGGTTTGCACCTTTAGTGTACGATTTCAGAAAATGGTGTTAGTTTAGGAAATTTTTCCAAAAACAGTGGTATTTTTGTCCTTTTTTTTAAATGATGGTAGATCTGGGGAAAAATTCCTAATTATGCTTGTTGTGTGGTCGACTTCAACTAGTAGATGGAGATATTAGTGAGTGTGTAGCTGTATGGTCTGCACGGGTCAACACCGGTTTTAATCGACGATTGGATTAATAACATACCGGAATAAATGTGCAATCTTGTCTTTGATCATATAAATTTTATGAATACGGAATATAAGTTGATATTTCGACTTGAACAAATGCAACGATGGTTTGATTCTTTATTCTAAGATTTCCTTTACTATTGATCACAAGTTTATATATGGGTTGGTTTGGTTCGCAAAAGGACTGGAGTTGCAAGAATCATGAAATGAAAACCAGGAAAGATGCAGATCATGACGGTGTGGTCTAGTTCAAATTAGAATGGAGTACAAATCAACGATCATACTAAATATTATATGGTTCAAACTAGACCATGTCTGTGCGGTCTATTCCGCTATGGTTCGGACTAAGCAAATCACGTTGAGCGGAAAATGAATAATATGTTAGATTTTTCACACTAAAAGGTGATAATAACTAAGAAAATATTTTTTTTGTCTTGAAACCTAAATTCAAACACACAAGCATAATTTTGATACTTTAAATTCAAGTAAATGGCAGAGATGCAAAGTCAAAGCAGTCCAACTTCCACCACAATGTCATAAAATACTAACATAATTTCATATGAAGATATAACCGTCCCTACTATTTGGCGGAGTATGATTTATGAATGAAGAATTGACGAGATTTTCAAAATTAAGGTTGAGATGTTAATAGGGAATGGGGAGAGTGACCGAATGAGCTCCTAAATCGAATTGAGAAGTGAATTGGGACCACAGTCTGATACGATAAATTGTGGTCTCAACCATACTACGTTGGATCAACCAAACCAAGATGAATCAAGTTGGTTACATGAAATTTAAGTCCTCGCGTTGCATGGAAACAATGCAACAATTCAAGAAAATTGAATTTGAAGGACCAAAGGTCATGTCCCTTGATGTAAAAGAACAAATCCTTCCACCAATTTCCAAATGACACGTTCCTTCTCATGGAAATAAGATAATGCTTAACGGTTTCATTCCAAATGAGACAACTTTTCAAAGGTTTTGGAAATGGAACCGCCACAAATTGAAGGGTTACAACCCTTTGATGTATGGCTTGATCCTCTATAAATTAGAGGACTCGGCAAAGTGGGGGTGGACACCAAAACAGATTCTTCTTCCTATTAAACTTCTAAGTATGCTTTAGTTTCTTAAGTCTAGATTCTAAAGTGGTGACAGTTTTATCCTACGAAAAAATTTCCTGTAACCCTAGGCTTGTTGAGGGTGAAAATATTCTTTACGGAAAGTGAACGTTGTTCACGACTCTATCATGATCTTAGTCACCCGGTCTCGGGCTATCGTACGTGTACCCTCGTCCCTAAAAGTCCCAACAATCGTAAAGAATATTTTTCCGGTACGATGGCTCGAAACGCTCTTTACAAGAAACTGGTTCCAATCTATGGAATTATTAGAATGTTCGATGATGGATTTTTCATCGATGGCAGTAGAAGATGGGTTTTCTTCGTACATGTCTCATGGTGTATTCCATATCCGGAAGGTAACTTGGAAGAGGGATGATTCGAAGATGAGGAAGAAAGAGAATGATTCGTAAAATGGAGAAATAGAAGAATGAAAATTGCCTTTGGGTAGGTCACATACTCAATGGTTAATTAGTCTAATTCTCTATTCGACATTTACGAAGTTCTAGATAAACTTGGATTTGTCTAGTGGTTTGGTAGTGTGATTTTGTCTAGTGGTTTATGTTATTTTAAACCAATGAGACAAAATTGTATATACAATGTTTGATGATTCTGGTAATAGAGTCGTTGTGTTTGTATGTAGATGACATATTTATCTTTGGGACCAATCAAAGATAAGTGATTTTGTCAAGTGGTTTATGTTATTTTAAACCAAAAAGACATCATGTGTACACAATTTATGATGATTATGATAATGAAGTCATCGTACATTTGTATGTATAACATATGCTTATCTTTGGAACCAATAAAAGATAAGTGAACTTTGATAAAAAGTTGTTATTTCAATTCTCCATGTAGGACATGGGGTAGGCAAATGTGATTCTGTGTGTTGAATCAAGCGGAACGACAAAGAAGAGTCATTCTCTCAAATTTTCTGCATGAGAAGGTACTTGCATAAATTCCATAGTAGGAATTGTAGTGAGTTAAAGACCCCAATGCATGACTTGCATGACTTGCATGCAATTCCTACTATGGAACTTATGGTTAATACTGGAAATCAGTTTTACAACTGGAGATGTATGCATGACTTGCATGATGCTAGATATCGCATATGCGATAGAACAATTAAGTTGGTACGTGATGAATCCTAGTTCTCATCATTTGAAATGAAATGAGGCGTGTACTAGGATATGTCAAAGGCACATTGTATTGACTTATAGTGGCTTTCCATCAATTTTGGAAGGATTTGTTGATGTTAGTTGGATTTCTCATGTTAAAGGTGATACTTCAATATCGAGATGGGTCCTCTTGCTTGGGGGAGGAGCCATATCTTGGGCCTCTTAAAAGCATACTTGCATCACTAAGTTTCACTATGGAGTCAAAGTTCGTGGCATTGATTTCTCTTAGAGAAAAGACATCATTGATGAGATGCTTGGTTTATGACATTAATTTATGGCAAAACCAGTCTCACCTATTATTATTCTTAGTGATAGTAATGCTAATTTGATTAAGGTAGTCAAAGTGAAAATGACAAGTACGGTCATGTGGGAGTAAGGCACGATAAAAGCTGTGAACTGATCATTCATAGTGTTGTGTCTAGACAGTATGACCAGACTCGCAATAATTTGGTTGATCATTTGACGAAGTGGTTGACTAGTGACTTGGTGATCAAGTCTGTGAAAGGGATGGGTTAAAGTCCATATAATTTATGATCATGGGATACCCAATTCCCCTATAATACAACGTTAGAGGCTGACTTCGATGTGGAAAGCTTATTGTCAGAAATTGAAGCACAAAATTTGTCATCCCAAGGTATGTGCTTGTTATCCTGCACGAGAGAAGAGGATGAAGTTCAAAACTTCTTAATTGAATCTTTGAAAAAGTGTATTATGCGGGTACACGAATAAGAGATTCAACCTACGTAAGCATGAAGTGTAGCCACTTTAAGAAACCTGGACTTTGGTTTCGTGTGCGCTTATGAGAAGGATTGGACACATGGCGGTTAATAGTGTCAAGGCACTTATAGGTTTTGAAAACTTGAGTGTATATTATCTTCGAATATTCATATGAGTCAATTGGTTCAATCGTTACCGACACCCTTTGTATTCGGATATTCGTTAAGTATAATATACTAAGGTGAAAATTCAATCATCACGACATTTTCATTTATGCTTAAGTTTTGTTGGAAGAATGTTGTAATTTTAGTGAATTCTTTGAATACACTAAAATGGGGGAGGAACGTTGGAATTTAGTGGAAATACCGGTTTGGATCAACCAAACCAAGATGAATCAAGTTGGTTACATGGAATTTAAGTCCTCACGTTGCATGGAAACAATGCAACAATTCAAGAAAATTGAATTTGAAGGACCAAAGGTCATGTCCCTTGATGTAAAAGATCAAATCCTTCCACCAATTTCCAAAGGACACGTTCCTTCTCATGGCAATAAGATGATGCTTAACGATTTCATTCGAAATGAGACAACTTTTCAAAGGTTTTGGAAATGGAATCGCCACAAATTGAAGGGTTACAACCCTTTGATGTATGGCTTGATCCTCTATAAATTAGAGGACTCGGCAAGGTGGGGGTGGACACCAAAACACAGATTTTTCTTCCTATTAAACTTCTAAGTATGCTTTAGTTTCTTAAGCCTAGATTCTAAAGTGGTGATAGTTTTATTCTACGAAGAAATTTCTTGTAACCCTAGGCTTGTTGAAGGTGGAAATATTCTTTATGCAAAGTGAACGTTATTCACGACTCTATCATAATCCTAGTCATCCGGTCTCAGACTATCGTACGTGTACCCTCGTCCCCTAAAAGTCCAAAACATACTTGACTAAAAATTCAACACGTCTCACAATACAAAATATGAACCACACCAAACCATTTTTAGCAATACGATGGAAATCAAACCATGCGATATGGTTTGGAGTGCGATTTTTCTAGATATCTGTTCTATTTCTCCCTCCTAATGAGACTGTAGCAGGCAAGATAGGTAATTATGGGAAAAGCAAAACACGAAGGGAGCAAACGTGAATTCCGGAATGCAACTTGGGGGAGTGAAAATATTCGTTTGGCTAAGAATGACAGTAAAACCGGAAAGAAAGGCTTTTCCCCAAAAATAATAAAAACAACAAAGCAAAAAACGGACGGTCCACAGTCCATTCAAACCTCTCTCTCCGCATCCATCGGCCCCCACCACCCCTCCAAATTTATTGATTCACAATTTTATTCGACAATATTAATACCTTACTCCCAACTTCCCCTTACAAAACCAAATTGTTAGACACGAACAAACGGTAAAAAAACAAAACAAATAATTACTCCACAGCAAAAAAGAATCAAAACCTCCCTCGAAATTACTTTTTACTCGATTAGAACCGAGCGAAACATCCCCACGCGCGGAACAGAAGCCAAAGCTCGCACGCGCCGGTGAGCCGGAGTCAACACCAAAATAGGCGAGAAAATGTCGTGGCAGACTTACGTCGACGAGCACTTGATGTGCGAGATCGAAGGCCAGCAGGGCCAGCACCTCGCCTCCGCCGCCATCGTCGGCCACGACGGCAGCGTCTGGGCCCAGAGCTCCGCCTTCCCCCAGGTAACCCAATACTTAAAAAACCATTCTTTAACAGTCACCCATGAAATTTTGCACAATTATTAACAACCGTCTCTGTTCAATGTCGGCGCCGTGCCGGGGCCGGTACATAATTTACAGTTCAAGGGTTCGGAGGTGAGCGACATCATGAAGGATTTCGACGAGCCCGGGCACCTGGCTCCGACGGGGCTCCACATCGCCGGGACAAAGTACATGGTCATCCAGGGCGAGCCCGGGGCCGTGATCCGCGGCAAGAAGGGCGCCGGCGGGATCACCATCAAGAAGACCGGCCAGGCTCTGGTCGTCGGAATCTACGAGGAGCCGGTGACACCGGGGCAGTGCAACATGGTCGTCGAGAGGCTCGGCGATTACCTCGTCGATCAGGGTCTCTAGAGACACAACACACACAGAGAGATTCGATCCCTCAAAATTCAGCTATCCATTACCGGAATTTGGCACTATGAATTCAATTTTGCTTTATTAGTCTCCTCATAATATGTATTTTCCGTCGTGTTTTCTTCAGAGGAGTAAAACAGAGTGCTACTCTGTTTTCTCCCTCTTGCTTTTTTTGTTTTTTGTTCTTGGTTACAAGGTTTGCATTTCTGGCCGTTGTATGGGATGATCGACGGTGCAGGCTATGAAAGTTTTGGGATATTTCGTTCCTTGTTTCTTTTTTAATCTATGTTGGTTCTTGTTGATTTGATCAGGTGTGCGCCTCGGTTTTCTTTTGTCGATTGGTATGAACCAAAGCTTTGGAATTTCTCACTTTATTGAATTTTGTCTCCTTTTTGGTGATTGGTTCTGGAAATAGTGAATAATATGTCATGCAACCGCGGTTTCGACAACAGCACAAGCACAAAAGTTGCATAAATTAAATCCCCACATCGCACAACCATACCCGATGTCGACCCTCCCGTTGATTTGATACATAAAAAAAATCCCTTCCTTACTCAACTCACCCTGAATGAATGAAGGCGATAGCGGCAACCACCATCATTGGCTTGGCGTCACAACAAATCTCATATATATATATATATTTATTTAATATATATAAATATGAAGTAAAGTTATTGTTGCATAAAATGTTAAATTTTGATACCCCAAATTTAATTAAATCACAACTTAGTCACTATAATGTACATTTTACATTTTGATACCCCAAATTTAAATTTTTCAATATATATAAATATGAAGTAAGGTTACTATTGCATAAAATGCTACATTTTCATACCCCAAATTTAATTAAATCACAACTTAGTCACTATAATGTATATTTTACATTTTGATACCCAAATTTAATTTTAATGTAAAATCATTGAACAATTATGTTTTGGTATCTAAATTTTATGAGATTTTTGTACCTACAATTTTTTAAATTTACATATTGGTCCACTGTTTGGATTTCACTTGAACATGAATACAATCCACCAATCCTTTTGAACCAATACATGAATCCAATCGACGTATAAATTTAGTTTGCCTCATTATGTGAAACATTAAATAAATGATAAAAGAAAGACGACTCTAAAATATTGCAAGAGCGAATTTATGAACTCATTTAATACATTTACGGGTACTAAACAAACTTCTACTAACTACATGTAACAAAATATGCCACATCTACATAAGCAAGTGTCAATAAATTGCTACGGTGAAAATGATTGACTTTTGTATTGATGGCCGACTAAAAGAAATGGTCAAAAAATTTTCATCATCTACTTCCTCTTCGTTTCATTTTTCACTCGCCTTCCATAACCCTTTCTTTATTTTTTTCTCTGCCTACTTCGTCTAACCCAAATTAGTATACTATTTTTATGTACTCTAATCACAAGTATGAACGGGTCGGTACACAACTCACCAACAGTCTAGAGAACTAATAATTGAACCATGACCCACTAACTTTTTTAACTTAATGTCGAGTCCAATTAATATATATATATATATATATATATATATATATGTTTATTAATTATTATAAATTTTTCATTTTCCACTATGAAATTTAAAGGCGTGAAATTTTAAGCGAGTTGCTTCTCTCTAGGGTTTTTCTTATTCACCCGGGCTAGAATTTTCAACAATTATACATGGAATGTTTGCTTGGTATCTACACATATCAAATAAACATCTTTCATTTTCTATATAGAAGTAAATAATTATAATCTTAAATACATCACCATAAAAGGAATTAAGCCTCAACGATGCAAATTACAATTTTGTACCTAAACTTAATAGATCTTTAGATTTATAATCTAAATTTAATTTGTTGGCATATAAGTCCTCAAAATATTGATGGAACATTACATTTTAGTATCTAAATTTTTTGTGTATTAAATTTTGGTACCTAAACTTTTGAAGTTTTTAAAAAAAATAGGTCTAATTTTTGTATGTATAATTAAAACACGCTAGAATAAATGGGTATTATCATACACATTTAGATTATGAAAGTAAATATTCATACCCTACCCAAACCCATCTACAAACGTCCAAACCAATATATACGTAACGCATTCCCTACCGATAATCAATGACTCTACTTGGGTTTAGGTAAATATAATTTACTAGCCAAAATTTTCAAAAAAAAATTAAATTGGATGTTAACTGCCATATATATCTTTTCAGTCAAATCATATTGCCAAGTCAATATTACTAACAAAACTGCTAACAAAAAATTAATTTTAGACTAATAATACTAACAAAATATCATAACGGGTCATATAATATATGCTCATAGGCCATCTCCACTTCGCGACATGTCGCGACATCGCCACCTAGTATATATATATATAAAAGCAGCAACGGCAGCGAGAGCTCAATCTACCTCCCCGTCGATGAAGATTAATTTCTGCTGAAATTTCCTTTTTACTTGGTACTTTGAGATTGTCAGCCGGAGAAGATTAGTAAATACCCGATTAATTTCTGCTCATCTACCTCTCCGGCGGCCTTGCCTTGCATGTGTTGTCAGTCGGAGAAGTGCAGATACATCTTTGTAATAGCAATTACCCTTTGAGATTGTTTAACTAATTTGAACTGGGATGGATGTTTCGAGTGGAAATTAAATCAGTCGGTCCTCGACATGTGTTGTCAGCCGGAGAAGGAGACCGGAGGAAGAACCCCCGGTGTCGCCGCTCTCCTATTCACTCTGTCCGTCTCCCCCTCTCTTCCTGTATGTGCCAATCCAACTTCCATACCCCCTCTCTCCTCTGTGCGGGACAAAACAAAAACACGGAGAAGAAGAAGACTTGCTAGAAGGAAACCGGCGAAGGCCCCGACCGTCGCCGCTCTTTTATCATACCAAAAATATTTTTTGTTAATTAAAAAAAAATATTTTAATAAAAAAATAATATTTTATTCTCTTCTAAAGGCAGGTGGACGGATGCACAATTGCATGAGATTTGTGGTACCCGACGCCCTATTTTTACTTTAGTGGTATGACTCCCCCATTTCTCATACTTTAGTGGTAACCGAGATATTTTACCTACCTACTAATACTAGTAGCTGCTCAATTGTCGGCAGAGATCAAGGCTAAAAAAATGCATAAAGTTTAATTATCATGCACTAGCAAAGATATATCGCAGAACATAAAGAAGACACAAATTGTTTTTAACGTGATATCGTCCGGAGACACTAGTTCACGAAAAGGATCTCACTTTTAGATTTTAATATTATCAGTTTTCTTAAAATTTGATGTACAACTTGATACGATATTTATAGACCACTAAGTAGGCCGTGGATAGTGAAGGAGAATGGCTAGGTGATTGGGCGAGCTTCTTCTCCTTAATTAGGTGGTATATTTGGAAACCAGAAATGAATATATCTTTCAGAATAAAATTCTCACAAGAACTACCTGGATCAACTATGTGATTGCTAAAGCTACGGATTTGAAGGATATGATAGGGATTAGCTTCCCACGGATGATACCGTTAGGATAACCTGTTATGGTGGCTTAAGTCCTTTTCAGTTTGCAGCAAGGGCCTGCATGTGAGCAGTGTTTCTTGTGGCTGATGTGAGATTGATTTTCGTAGTTACCATTCTGGCTCGTAGCCTCCCCTTTTATAAAAAAAAGTAGGTTGTATCCTTGTGGAACACGTCTACATTTATGAGTCCTAAATTAATATACAAAAGGATTCTTTAGTCAACACTTAGGTAACCAGTTCGTGAAGCGGGAGCGAGAGCGTGAAAGCATCTACTTTAAAAGAATTCAATAAGGGGAGGGTGGAGAGAACGTCGAAATTTTTATCAATATCCCATGAGTATAATAATTCAAGCATATAATAAAAGACATAAATTATAAAATTTATTTTTATGGCAAAAATATAAATTACGTAGTTGTAGCTTAATAACTAATAATTTAATTAATATGAAAAGTCAAATGTTTTTAACTAACAAAAAGAAAAAGAAAAAAACAACCCTCATTCGTTAAGCGGCATCTAACCTAGGGATGACAATCAAACCCATGGCCACTGGTACCCGATCGCCCCCGACCCAGTCAACGCGGGTAATCCCCACTTTGACCGGGTATGGGGCGGGCATGGATAAAACCCGCAAAAAGTTTGATGGGTATGGGGCGGGTATGGGTAAAGTCTCCCCCGCCCCATACCCATACCCATATCCGCCCCACCAAGAGAATTTCTTCACATATACAAAAATATGTAGATCAAATTGTAATCTATCAATGATGATGAGTATAACTCGAGGAAATAAATAATAGAAATGCAATTGAGTGACCACCTTAATCAAAACCTAATTCATTTCCCTCAATTCTCCTTTCACTCTTTCACTTTCCCCCTTGTCAACAAGATTATGTTAGTTAATTATTTCTTAGTAGATGTATCAGAGTGAAAACATAATAATTTGAAAAATATTATACTCTATATTATGTATTAACGAATGTTTTAGGATCATATTCTTCGAACCGTATTAAGAAAATGATCGTGTTTGTTGAATTCGTGATATAATAGGTACGTTTAGAGTTGTAGTTAAAACTTTTCTCGTAAATTCTAGGATAATAATGTTGGATGTACGGGTGCGGGTATTATCCATGGGTACCCGAAACCCACGAGTATGGGGATAGGTTTGTCAAACATTCCCCCGCATGGGTATGGGACGGGTATGGGTTTGGATATTTGAAGATGGGGATGGGGATGGCGATGGTTTAGACAAACCCGCTCCAAACCTGCCCCATTGCCATCTGTAATCTAACCCCAAGGCCCAAACCGACCATGAATTCGGAGGTCCGGGATTCGAAAGGAAGAGGGCAAAGAATAATTCCAATGGCGGACCACCAAATAGAGCTAGAGGAACTCCTGCTCGGAGTTACCAAGAAGCTCCTCCTGTAGCGGGGTTTCACGGGAAGCAAGGATTTCACCGTCCTAGCTCAGGCAACGGATCCCCTACTTGAAGGCTTCGATCAGATCTTGGCCATCACCGGCATCCTCCTATCTCTAACACAATAATCACTGAAAACCACCATGACTGGTACTCAATTTTTCAGCTCAATCCCGCCGATGCGGACGACGCAGACCTATCTATAAGCATTACCGTTGCTTCGTCCTCCTCCCGAACAAGAACAAATTCCCCGTCACCGATCACGCCTTCAAGCTTGCAGACAAAGATGGGGAATCTTCCTCTCATATTCCGGATCCGCGCTCTAGGGAATTGAAATTCGCGCTCCTAAAATAATAGTTCACGAATTAATCCCGATTTGCAGATGATTCGCGACTTCCACGCAGTGGAGCGGGATCGTGGAGGCCAACTCAGCGAATTGGGTAACCTAAGTCAACACCCTCCCTCAAATTGATGTTGGGTATGTAACATCAATTTGGAAGATAGATAC